GCGTTAAGATGAAATCCCCGCAGAAGGAAACGACCTCAGCGGTTCTCACAAATCCAACCAGCGACGTCCACCAATGCGTCAATTTTGGTTGATGTCAATGGCCTAATTCCAGCTAACATCCAATGCTCCTTTGCCCCGTCCAGCAAGAATATGGGAGCCACTTCATTTAGGAAACTCGTTCTCTAAATTAGGGTCCATTTTTCGGGGTCCTGTTCAAAAGGCGCCGTACTTCATTGTGGACCCAACATGGGAACCGTAGAGAAATACTCAAAATAAACAGTCCTTATACACCGCGGTACTGCAGGTTACAAGACTATTCTTCTCAAGGCGTCGAACCCTCCCGCCCGGCCACTTAAGGTTTGAGCATGTTAACCCTCTTATGGCTTTACAGGGTTTGGGGTAGCCCACTGCACAGTACTGCACAGTACTTTGCAAGACTGCAGGTAATTGCACAGACAACAGTGCACATCATGTGCAGTACTTGTATGAGGCCCAGGCGCATGTGCCAAGGTGCATGCAGCATCATGCGACAACGCGGAGCTGCTTTTGAAGCCGCTCATGCTCCGAAATCACTGAATGTGCCAGACGTTTTGGAGCCACGAGCGCATTTACGCAGCAAAACTTCGACTTTGTCTTCCGCCTTCTCTCTTGCGACTGTGTCTTCAAAGCCCAAAATGCCATGCGACAATTCGGAGCTGCTTTTGAAGCCGCTCATGCTCCGAATTCGCTGGACAACCGTGATCCGAGATCCAGCGGTGTAGCTGCTCGAGAGACGGTTTGGAGCCACGAGAGCAGCTGTGCAGCAACACTTGGATTTGTCTTCCGCCTGCTTCTCTTGCGACTGTGTCTTCAGCCCCGAATGCATGCGACAATTCGGAGCTGCTTTTGAAGCCGCTCATGCTCCGAATTCACTGGACAACCGTGATCCGAGATCCAGCGGTGTAGCTGCTTGAGAGACGGTTTGGAGCCACGAGCGCATCTTTGCAGCAACACTTGGATTTGTCTTCCGCCTGCTTCTCTTGCGACTGTGTCTTCAGCCCCGAATGCATGCGACAATCCGGAGCTGCTTTTGAAGCCGCTCATGCTCCGAATTCGCTGGACAACCGTGATCCGAGATCCAGCGGTGTAGCTGCTTGAGAGACGGTTTGGAGCCACGAGCGCATCTGTGCAGCAACACTTGGATTTGTCTTCCGTCTGCTTCTCTTGCGACTGTGTCTTCAGCCCCGAATGCATGCGACAATTCGGAGCTGCTTTTGAAGCCGCTCATGCTCCGAATTCGCTGGACAACCGTGATCCGAGATCCAGCGGTGTAGCTGCTTGAGAGACGGTTTGGAGCCACGAGAGCAGCTGTGCAGCAACACTTGGATTTGTCTTCCGCCTGCTTCTCTTGCGACTGTGTCTTCAGCCCCGAATGCATGCGACAACCCGAAGCTGCTTTTGAAGCCGCTCATGCTCCGAATTCACTGGACAACCGTGATCCGAGATCCAGCGTTGTAGCTGCTTGAGAGACGGTTTGGAGCCACGAGCGCATCTGTGCAGCAACACTTGGATTTGTCTTCCGCCTGCTTCTCTTGCGACTGTGTCTTCAGCCCCGAATGCATGCGACAATTCGGAGCTGCTTTTGAAGCCGCTCATGCTCCGAATTCGCTGGACAACCGTGATCCGAGATCCAGCGGTGTAGCTGCTTGAGAGACGGTTTGGAGCCACGAGCGCATCTGTGCAGCAACACTTGGATTTGTCTTCCGTCTGCTTCTCTTGCGACTGTGTCTTCAGCCCCGAATGCATGCGACAATTCGGAGCTGCTTTTGAAGCCGCTCATGCTCCGAATTCGCTGGACAACCGTGATCCGAGATCCAGCGGTGTAGCTGCTTGAGAGACGGTTTGGAGCCACGAGCGCATCTGTGCAGCAACACTTGGATTTGTCTTCCGCCTGCTTCTCTTGCGACTGTGTCTTCAGCCCCGAATGCATGCGACAATTCGGAGCTGCTTTTGAAGCCGCTCATGCTCCGAATTCGCTGGACAACCGTGATCCGAGATCCAGCGGTGTAGCTGCTTGAGAGACGGTTTGGAGCCACGAGCGCATCTGTGCAGCAACACTTGGATTTGTCTTCCGCCTGCTTCTCTTGCGACTGTGTCTTCAGCCCCGAATGCATGCGACAATTCGGAGCTGCTTTTGAAGCCGCTAATGCTCCGAATTCGCTGGACAACCGTGATCCGAGATCCAGCGGTGTAGCTGCTTGAGAGACGGTTTGGAGCCACGAGCGCATCTGTGCAGCAACACTTGGATTTGTCTTCCGCCTGCTTCTTTTGCGACTGTGTCTTCAGCCCCGAATGCATGCGACAATTCGGAGCTGCTTTTGAAGCCGCTCATGCTCCGAATTCACTGGACAACCGTGATCCGAGATCCAGCGGTGTAGCTGCTTGAGAGACGGTTTGGAGCCACGAGCGCATCTGTGCAGCAACACTTGGATTTGTCTTCCGCCTGCTTCTCTTGCGACTGTGTCTTCAGCCCCGAATGCATGCGACAATTCGGAGCTGCTTTTGAAGCCGCGCATGCTCCGAATTTGCTGGACAACCGTGATCCGAGATCCAGCGGTGTAGCTGCTTGAGAGACGGTTTGGAGCCACGAGCGCATCTGCGCAGCACCACTTGGATTTGTGTTCCGCCTGCTTCTCTTGCGACTGTGTCTTCAGCCCCGAATGCATGCGACAACCCGGAGCTGCTTTTGAAGCCGCCCATGCTCCGAATTCACTGGACAACCGTGATCCGAGATCCAGCGGTGTAGCTGCTTGAGAGACGGTTTGGAGCCACGAGCGCATCTGTGTAGCACACTTGGATTTGTCTTCCGCCTGCTTCTCTTGCGACTGTGTCTTCAGCCCCGAATGCATGCGACAATCCGAAGCTGCTTTTGAAGCCGCTCATGCTCCGAATTCACTGGACAACCGTGATCCGAGATCCAGCGGTGTAGCTGCTTGAGAGACGTTTTGGAGCCACGAGCGCATCTGTGCAGCACACTTGGATTTGTCTTCCGCCTGCTTCTCTTGCGACTATGTCTTCAGCCCCGAATGCATGCGACAATTCGGAGCTGCTTTTGAAGCCGCTCATGCTCCGAATTCGCTGGACAACCGTGATCCGAGATCCAGCGGTGTAGCTGCTTGAGAGACGGTTTGGAGCCACGAGCGCATCTGTGCAGCACACTTGGATTTGTCTTCCGCCTGCTTCTCTTGCGACTGTGTCTTCAGCCCCGAATGCAAGCGACAATCCGGAGCTGCTTTTGAAGCCGCCCATGCTCCGAATTCACTGGACAACCGTGATCCGAGATCCAGCGGTGTAGCTGCTTGAGAGACGGTTTGGAGCCACGAGCGCATCTGTGTAGCACACTTGGATTTGTCTTCCGCCTGCTTCTCTTGCGACTGTGTCTTCAGCCCCGAATGCATGCGACAATCCGGAGCTGCTTTTGAAGCCGCTCATGCTCCGAATTCACACTGGACAACCGTGATACGAGATCCAGCGGTGTAGCTGCTTGAGAGACGGTTTGGAGCCACGAGCGCATCTGTGCAGCACACTTGGATTTGTCTTCCGCCTGCTTCTCTTGCGACTGCGTCTTCAGCCCCGAATGCATGCGACAATTCGGAGCTGCTTTTGAAGCCGCTCATGCTCCGAATTCGCTGGACAACCGTGATACGAGATCCAGCGGCGTAGCATCTGTGCAGCACACTTGGATTTGTCTTCCGCCTGCTTCTCTTGCGACTGTGTCTTCAGCCCCGAATGCATGCGACAATTCGGAGCTGCTTTTGAAGCCGCTCATGCTCCGAATTCGCTGGACAACCGTGATCCGAGATCCAGCGGTGTAGCTGCTTGAGAGACGGTTTGGAGCCACGAGCGCATCTGTGCAGCACACTTGGATTTGTCTTCCGCCTGCTTCTCTTGCGACTGTGTCTTCAGCCCCGAATGCATGCGACAATCCGGAGCTGCTTTTGAAGCCGCTCATGCTCCGAATTCACTGGACAACCGTGATCCGAGATCCAGCGGTGTAGCTGCTTGAGAGACGGTTTGGAGCCACGAGCGCATCTGTGCAGCACACTTGGATTTGTCTTCCGCCTGCTTCTCTTGCGACTGTGTCTTCAGCCCCGAATGCATGCGACAAACCCGGAGCTGCTTTTGAAGCCGCTCATGCTCCGAATTCACTGGACATTTGGAGCCACGAGCGCATCTGCGCAGCAACACTTGGATTTGTCTTCCGCCTGCTTCTCTTGCGACTGTGTCTTCAGCCCCGACTGAATGCGACAACCCGGAGCTGCTTTTGCAGCCGCTCATGCTCCGAATTCACTGGACAACCGTGATCCGAGATCCAGCGGTGTAGCTGCTTGAGAGACGGTTTGGAGCCACGAGCGCATCTGTGTAGCACACTTGGATTTGTCTTCCGCCTGCTTCTCTTGCGACTGTGTCTTCAGCCCCGAATGCATGCGACAACCCGGAGCTGCTTTTGAAGCCGCTCATGCTCCGAATTCACTGGACAACCGTGATCCGAGATCCAGCGGTGTAGCTGCTTGAGAGACGGTTTGGAGCCACGAGCGCATCTATGCAGCACACTTGGATTTGTCTTCCGCCTGCTTCTCTTGCGACTGTGTCTTCAGCCCCGAATGCATGCGACAACCCGGAGCTGCTTTTGAAGCCGCTCATGCTCCGAATTCACTGGACAACCGTGATCCGAGATCCAGCGGTGTAGCTGCTTGAGAGACGGTTTGGAGCCACGAGCGCATCTGTGCAGCACACTTGGATTTGTCTTCCGCCTGCTTCTCTTGCGACTGTGTCTTCAGCCCGAATGCATAATGCGACAATCCGGAGCTGCTTTTGAAGCTGCTTTTGTAAACCCCCAAACCCTAAACCCGAACCCCTTGATGCTTTCACTTGATGCCAAAGAAAAACAGAGGGCCTCATGAGGCATCTGCAGCTGCATGTCATTCTGGGTGTCCTCCATCTACCCTAAACCCTAAACCCTAAACCCTAAACCCTAAACCTTGAGAACTGAGAAACGCTGAGAAGCTGACCCAGGAGATGGTGATGAGGCGCAGCGCCAGCCGGCCGAACGCATCAAAGACATCCGGGCTGCCAAGGTATGCTGACCAGGCCTTGGGATGAGGAGGATTTGGGGTTGGGTCTAAGGGCACCCCGCAATTTGTTGAAAGGCCCATATCATTCTCTTTATACTTCCTAGTCATCAAGTACTTACATCAAGCGGTTCTGAGCAAAAAACAAAAGCCCTCTCATTGCCTCGAATGCCGCGTTCGGAAGACAAGTGTTGGCGTGCCCGGTGGGGCAATACGGAGCTGTGCGAAATCGCACTGCTCCTTCTGTGACGGAGGATGTCTAGGAGTCTCGGGTGAAACTTCTGAAGTCACCAGGGTGATAGTTGAAGTAGAGTCACGAGGGTGGTTGTTGAAGTAGTTCCCTTCCTCTCCACTCTCAAACTTCCTCTCTCCCAAACCTCCCCTAGTAGCTACAGTACCTTTTTCTTAAAGACTAGGCCCAAAACCCTCAAGCCCTGCACACAATTATAGGGTTTTAAGGGTTTAGGGTTTAGGTTGGATGCCAACCCTTCGAGTCTTCAACTGTGTCTAGGCTTGAGAGTTTTTTGAGGCCCGCGCCACCGCCAGGCCAATGATGAAGGCGCAGTGGAACACCACATCCTCCCAGATCTTCCAAAACCCCTTAACTAAGGAATATACACTATAATTTATACTAAGGATCCTTATTATGAATTAGAGTATATAGTATATACCTTAATTAAGGGGTTTTGGAAGGTCTGGGCTCACGCCAAGGAATGGTGGAAGGAGCCCTCTGCACTCAGGATCTGACAAGGGTCAATGCCAGTCAAAAGCCGCTGGACGAAGGTAGGTTTGGGGGCCCCTACAAAAATTAACTGTTTGTGGCTTTATAAGGATTATGTAAGAATTGGGGGGGGGGGGGGGTACTAAAAAAATAAGTATGTAATCATCAACCCCTGTGGAACCGTGTCCTGCCACTTCTCTGGTGGGAAGGAGTTCCGGCCAACACCAGCCAACCTCCAGACATTGCCAGCCATCACGGACACAACTGCAAGCACTTGTTGTAACAATTTCACCCTCAACCCCTCAACCCCTCAACCCCTCAACCCCTCAACCCCTCAACCCCTCAAGCCCTCAAGCCCTCAACCCCTAACCCAGCAAGGATGTCTCACTTGACGGTTGCAGCAGGTGAACAGACCTGGCCCAAGCAACGAGGAGCGGATCGATGTCGATGCCATCTGCCTCAGAGCTCGCTTGGGGTTTAGGGTTTATAGGGTCTAGGGTCTAGGGTCTAGGGTCAAGGGTCTAGGGTCTAGGGTTTAGGGTGGTTTCCGAAGTTTGGGGTACTTTCTTGTGGCCATTGTTATAAGGGATCCCTGCTTTTTCGGGGTCAAGATTAGGGGTCCCTTATTTTCGTAAACCCCCACATGCCGCTGTCCCCTGACCTGCACCCTTCATTGTAGTCCTTTTTGGCGGGCGTTACCAAAACTTTATGGCGAGTATGAACTGAGAATGAAGGGTCCAGGTAAGCTGTGACACTATACTACTAGTTGCTTTCGCACCACCCAAGACATTAACACACAATTATCACAAAATTGTCCTGACAGGGAAGAATATTTTTGTTTTTCGGGGGTTCTTAAACCAATAGCAGTGTAGCGGTGAGCTGAGGCTCCAAGCGCTCTCGACCGTTGAAGGCCTTTGCAAATAGCATTGTAGGAAGGCGCCGCTTGGCCTGAAAGAGCTCTTTGTTTAATGAGGGTGTAGGGTTTTAGGGTCAGGTGCTCTCCTGTGGAATTGTGCACCAAAATGCGACATGTAAGCTGTCCGCCTGCATGCAAACTCCCAGTGCCACTATGCTTCAGGGCCATGCTGCCCTCTACCAGCAGGCAAAACCTGAACCCTAAACCCCAAACCCCAAACCCTAAACCCTAAACCCGCCAAGCACAAGGCAATCTTCCCAGCGGCTCGGTCTCACCTCGTGTGTTACACGTAGCGATCTGAGCGCAGATCACGAAAAATACTCCGATAAATCTGTATATAATTAGGGTTTAGGGGTTAGGGAAAAGGGGTTTAGGGTTTAGGGCATAAAACGGTATATACACCAGTTGGGATGTTTCCCCTTATGCTAACAAGCTCCTTTATGGAGGCACTCTAATAGGAGGTATTAAAATCCCGAATAAGGATTGTTAGTATAAGGGGGAACATCCCAATACACCAGACTAAAAACAAAAAGAATAAATGCCAGTTATACAGTCTGTACACGTGTACTGCCCGTGCACCAGACTGAGATTCGGAGCTAAATAACCGAGCTTAAGTAATGCGAGAAATGGAAAAAAGAACATTGAAGACTGCATGGAAAAGCCACCGTAGTACATCTAGAAACATATCCAGCTGTTGCTAGGAAGCATCTGAGTTCCCGTGGCAGGATCACATTGCAATCTGACTAAGCCAGGCCTAATCTATCAATAAACCTATTTTTGGATATGTAAACAGAAAACGAATATATACCTATATATATATATATATATATATATAAGTAGCTCCCCCCCCCCCCCCCCCGCTCCCCCATCCCCCCAAGACCACCCTCACACATAAATCTGGCATATTCACGTATGTTCACGTTATGTAAGTATGGCTCATGTAGGGTTTCACCAATCCTGCCAGTGGGGCGGGCTTCTAGGGCTTAGGGCCCAGGAGCAGCGGCTTTTGTACTGTGTGGCCTGTCCAGTCCCTCTAGTGCCCCAAGCCCTGGCCAAGATTATACCTAAACCGTATAGTGTTGCATAAGCGAATGACAATGGTAATGTGCACGTTTTGGCAGCACCTGGTGCCGTTGCTCAGGCTGCGACTCAGCAGGCGGCCACGGAAAACACAGCGTAATCGCCTGACAGGACATGTTCTGCTGAGTTCGCTGTCGTAACTTTCGACTTGGAGACTGCCAGGTCCTGCAACGACATGTAGCCAGCTAGCTTCAAGCATCTGAGCATGCAGGCCAGCCGACTGCAAAGTCAACTCCCAGATAGTTCCCATCCTGCAACATGTGGGGGTGCAGAGTCCACCCAACAAAATAGCCCACTTGACAAGCTTGATCAGCCATCGTCCCAACAAGAAAGGGCTCCAGTCCTTGAGCTGAGCCACAGTGGTCGTGGGATCGACGTGGATGTCAAGCCGTCTCTCTTGGCCTGGCACCCCCCCTGCACGCCCAAGCAGCAGTCCAAACGTGCGGCCAAAAGCCGCGCCCCCGGGACATCAGGGGCGCATTGCTCTGCTTGTGGCCTGTGCCGTCAACGATCTGCAGTCGCAGTAGCCGGCTGCCATCGGACGCAGACCTCAAAGTCCACTGCAGGTCGATCACAAGTTTGGCCGCTTCAGCGGTGATCCTTAGTCCCCTTGTTGCGGAAGCTACATCTGTAAACAGCGCAACATGTTGTGCAATGTGCTCCTGTCATCTCCTGTCCAGGCAAGCTATCTTAGCACAAGCTGCTGCGCCTGGTCTCTGCATTTGCAGTATCCGGAGACTGTGGTTCCTGCCGGCTGGCGTCGAGCTGAGAAGTGGAGATCGTGGTTTCTTGAGCAATGTAAAGCTTCGCATGTAAAACCAAGCAAGCGAAGCTTGACCAAGCTAGGCTTCTGACCTGTTCCGATGCATCACTCCTGCTGGCAGCGGACACATCTCCTTCTTGTCTCCAAGGTGCCGTATACTTCACTTGGAGGCAGACGTGCTTATAAATGGCAGTAATACTTGAGGTTATAAAAACCATAAAGGGGGTTATAAGCAAAAACACACCTACAACTATGACTGCCATACTTATATCCCTTCTTTGTAAGCACCCTAAACCCTAAACTCTAAGCCCTAAACCCTAAACCCTAAACCCTGCAGTAAACCCTAAAACCCTAAAACCCGCCTAAAACCCTAAAACCCTAAAACCCTAAAACCCTAAAACCCTAAAACCCTAAAACCCTAAAACCCTAAAAACCCTAAAAACCCTAAAACCCTAAAACCCTAAAACCCTAAAACCCTAAGACCCTAAAACCCTAAAACCCTAAAACCCTAAAACCCTAAAACCCTAAAACCCTAAAACCCTAAAACCCTAAAACCCTAAACCCTAAAACCTAAAACCCTAAAACCCTAAACCCTATCAGGAATCCCCTGGCCTGGACATACTCCTCAAGGACGCCCCTCCATCCCGAATTCGTTCCGTTCTGGTCAGCGTGTTGGCTTGAAGAGGACTTGGTGTCGCCATGCCGTGAAATCGTGGACTTTGTGTGCGTTTTCCCTTAAGGAGGGCCCTGAAGAGTTGGGTCAGCGTTCAGTTGATCCATGCTCAGACTGCGTGGCTCGGCTCGAGCCACAGTGTGGACATGGTTTTGCGCCAGTCCAGATGACAGCAAGTGCTGGATTTCTACTATTTGCTTAAGACCCCCCCCCCCCCCCCCCCAACCAAAGAAAAAAAAATAACAAGAATTAAATAATAATCCCTATATTAGCCTTATTATGAGGAAGAATCATTTTTATCCTTTTGTGGGTTCTTAGGCAAGTGCTGGATTTTGCTCTCTCGGCTCAGTTTTATTAAACCCTAAACCCTAAACCCTAAACCCTAAACCCTAAACCGATTTTAGCTCTCTCGGCTCACAGAAGTCCATGCTGGAACTCTGCCTTCAGGTCTGCACATCGAAGCTGCAGTCTCTTTTTGCTGACGCGGCCCTCTTGAGAATCAGGGGTAGCCCTAAACCCTAAACCCTAAACCCTAAACCCGAAACCCTAAACCCTAAACCCTAAACCCTGGCTCTGTGGGATGAGCTCCATTCTCAGACAGACTTCTTGGTGCGGAAGCTTAGGTGAAGCCCGGAGCACCAGCGGCGTCGCCCCCCTCAAGGGCCGAATTCCTGCGGTTTCGGGTGTAGGGTTCGGCGGCGTCTACATGGGTGTTCTCAAAAGAAGGGTACCCCTTTTCCGCCCACAAATAGTATAGAATACCCTTAAGGAACCCCCAAGAAAGGGTATCCCTTTCCCCTACATGTTTAAAACATCGGGGCTAACAGCCATGAGCGACTTTCCGGGACCATGCTTTTTTGCACATCCCACACGATCCGATTTCCGACTCGTTGTGCTTGGGAACCGGGCCTCCTCGACCCTGTCGCACAGATGTACGGTAGTACGGTACGGCTGCGTTGATGATGCCAATCAGGATGCGGCATGGCCGTCAGCATGGGGTCCAGGATGAGGTGGCAGACCTTGTCACTCTTCATGTGGGCGCATGGTTCCATGGCATGCATGCGTTGACGCAAAAAGCAGCTTGGTGTACCTCTGCCCTCGCGCCGTGGTGCAGAGTCAGCATCTTCCTCAAGGCCCAGTGAGCTCGGACATCTATATAGCAGCCTCATAGCAACGCTTACGCAGTGTTTGGCAGACAGACGCAGGCTGGCCGTGATCATTTTCCGCACGCTGGCGCGGCCTACGCCGTGGAGCTTCCGAAACCAACCTCTTCGAGGGAAGTTCGCGGAGGAAAGCGATTCCTCTTGGTGAGGGTGATGCTCTTTCACATGTAAGAGGGCTGGTTAAACTACTATTCGCTTCAAGATAGTAATCCCTACATTGCCCTTATAAGGAAGAATCTTGTAAGGGGAGGGAGTTCTTAAGCAGTAGTTAGCAACGGGAACTGCAACAGGTCGTCTCGAAACTGTGAAACTGTGGCTGAGCAGGGCCGTTGACTTCGTTGCACTCTGAAGACTCATGAGAAGAAACCGAACCCCACACAAGGCATGCGGCATATGAGTCTAGGGTTTAGGGTTACCTGCATACCTGCTGTCAACTCAAACGTGCAGTCTCGGGCGCCTTCAAGTTCTTTAGGTCTAGGGTTTAGGGTTTGGGGTTTGGGGTTTTTTTAGGGTTTAGGGTCTAAGTTCGCCAGGCCTGTGCAAGGTCAGCGCTCGCGCTGCGCGCACTCTTTTAAAGGCGGCGCGAATCGAAAAGTTCAGCCCAAGGGTTTGAGATTCCCTTGCTGAGGAAAGATGGACGTGGGAGGCAGGCGCTGTTTTTGAAAGCAGCTCGGATCTCACACTCCTGAACAGCCAAGCCAGGATGCCTTGTGTCAGGGTTTTAGGGTTTGGGGTTTAGGATTTGGGGAGTTTATGGTGTAGGGTTTTTGGGTCATTTAGGAAGGCCTTGCCAGATGTCCGCAGGCACTCAGAGCCCCTTCCTCCGTATAGGTGTTGCTGGAAAGCCTCGCGAGTTGGGTGAAATCATACAGAGCCATCAGCACAGTTCCAGATCTTCAGCTACTCCGATCGCCTCTTGGTGTGGCTTCGCCGTGGAGCAGCCGGGTCCAGATGGGGCCTTTGCGAAGTTGCTTCAAAAACAGCATCGGAAGCTCTGATGGCCAGTTCTGGGCCCGCGGCCACCTCTGGAATTCAAAGCCCGCATCACCTCTTCACTGTAGACGTTGCTGGCTGGGCCCATCTTGCACCTGCGAGGTATCAGGATAAGGGGATAGGATTAAGGGAGCCCTTGGGGATATAGACCCTCTGAACAAGGTCCCTGTTTAAGAGAGCCAGAAGAGGGCGAAGAAGGGTTCCCTTTTAAGGGTCCCCCTTCTCCTAAACCCTAAACCCTAAACCCTAAACCCCCTTATCCTACCTAGGTATCAGGGGCGCCCAGCTTCACCTTAAGGCACAATTTTGCGCGCTCGGCGCTGCCGGGCCTCTTGCAGAGCATCTCAGGCTCGGCCTGTCACAGGCTCTGAAGAGAGCGGTCGGAATAATTGTGAAGAGTATTCCTTTATGGTCCCTAGAGGGCCCTATATGTCCCTATGTAAATCTACTATACTAACCCCCAAAACCCTGTTGCAAATTCTTTAGGCCCCCTACATGAAACAGGACAGTTTGGCCCAAAACCCTTAGGGGGCCTTGTGCTGCCAAGCATGGTAGGAGGCAGCACGGCAGTCGGCGTCGACGCATCGACAGCGGCCCTCCATCCGGTCCTTCTTGTCCACCTTGCGAGGCTCGCAAATTCTCCTCTCCTCTCTTCTTCTTCTTCTTCTTCTTCTTCTTCTTATTCTCAAGAGGGACCCCTCACGGGGAACCCCGGCCACGACGGCCCACTGCTCCGCGTCAATGTGTGAAAAAGGGACCCCCATGTTAGAGATCCTCACTCTCCTGTTCTTCTTCTCCTGCTGCTGCAGGGCATGGGAGGGGGTCCCCCGTGCACCAGGCGCGCCCGGAGATGAGTCAGCTCCAGGTGAGATTGTAGCGATGGACTTTGTGTCGGTTGGATTCGGCTGTTACACTGTCATCACAGCCTGTCTATGTTTCCCCCGCCCTGTTGGCAAGGTTTTCCCCGACGTGATAATCCATCGCGTGAGACTCCGTGCTCGCTGTTCTCACTCGCATCTCACCCCGAAAAACACTAGCTTACCCCTCTAAGTCGCCTTAGTTGTCAGCACGAGCTGCAGTTTGCTCTCCTGTGGGTCTGATGACTGGCCGTGGAGTTGCGTATTCTAACCTCACCCGCCCGCCAGCACCTATCTCCTCGCTCTCTCTCCCTCTCTCTCCCCCTCCCTCTCTCTGTCTCTCTCTCTCTCTCTATCTCTCTCTCTCTCTCTCTCTCTCTCTCTTTTCATTCTAGAATAAATAAAAGCAGAACAATTTCTCCACATATGTTTTCTACTGCGATTACTATTTCTATGCCCCCTTTAGCTTAAGGCTCGCCTCACGGAGCCCACGCACGAGGCAAGCCGGGTTCATTCGGCACGTTGGGAGGCCGGCGAAGGGCACCTTCCCACGTTGCGTAAGAATGCTGGCATGGACTGCCTACGTATTCTGTAGAATAATAACAATAATAATATTGTGATGAAAATAAAAATAATAACACAACAATAACAATAACAATAATAATAAATACAAATATGAATATAAACATAATTTTCATGTAACATAACATAACATAGCATAACATAGCATAACATAATATAACATAGCATGACATAACATGATGTGAAATAATGTAACATAATATAGCATCGCAGCATCTCATAACATAAAAAATAGCATAGCATAGCATAGCATAGCATAACATAACACAATAAAATAAAACAATATATGATCATATTACATTATGATTTACGATATTATTTCAAAATGTTTTTATCATTTCTCAAAACGATATGGTCTCTTTTTGGTACCCTTATCCGGGGCCGCCTTAGAACCCCCCCCCCCCCAGAAAGTCGGCCTTGTTTAGAGAATCCCTCTCCCCCCCCCCCCCCTCCTCAAATTGTGTAATTAAGATGTAGCGGTTTCTGCCTGGTTAGTTGAGGTGTAGCAATTCACGTTGGGATGGTAGTGGCGGCGATCTGTCTGGCAGCTACACAGGTCGGTGCCGTTGTGGAAATTTTCACACCCTAAACCCTAAACCCTAAACCCTAAACCCTAAACCGTGGCTCTGCAGCCTGTTTGAATGGAGGTGAAGAGCAACTTCGGCGCCCAGCGCTGCTGCCGCGGGAGGCCATGGCTCTGAGGTGTGATTATTTCCTTTGAGGTTCTTGCCGCTGCATCCCGCTGGCCAGACGTCATGGCTGCTTCATGAGTATTTTTAGGGTCTTGGCAAGAAAGGCATGGTACGAGGTGTCGACTGAGTGCACAGATGATTGCTCGATCCAGCACCCGAATTTGAGTAGCCTGTCATGCCTAGTGTCAGCAAAGCACCAGCCCGGGTGAGTCCAACTGGGCGGCCTCCTCGTATCCAGGCTTGTGGGGCTCTCTCGCGTGCCAGGCTCTCCTAAGTTGTCTTCCGTACCAAAGTTCGGTTGCATTCTGGAAATGGGCGTTTACGTAACAAGGGACCCCTAATATAGACCCCCAAATAGGATCCCCTTGTAGTAAGGACCAAAATAAAATACCCCTCGTATCGTAAACCCCCCCAAAATGAAACACACATGCACAGGTCTTGATGGGCCACTAAGGCTCCCGGGAGCCGCGACAAGACTTCTGGCTCATGTGCTGTATCTGGCTCTCAGTGTTGGTAACATCCACAATAAGCCAGTGTCGAGCACCGTGCCTTAGCCAGGCTCAGACTCTAATACTCGCCTTCACCCGTTCCGAAAGCTATGCCATGTGGAGGGGACACGCGATGCAACAGGGATACAGTGCCAGAATCTGCTGGAGCAGCGCTGTCCAAAGATGTCGACCTTAGCTACAGGTCTTCTTGCTGCGGCGGACTTCTGTGCACTCCTAGCTTTCGTCTGATGAGAGCTGGAAATGCCTGTCCCAGTAGCGTAGTGGTTGACCCGTAGCAGCTCGTGTGGCATCTCCACATCCATAGCACCGGGTGCAGATCTTGCGTAGTGGTCCAAGACTCCCCAAACCTCAAATTGCTCGCGAGCGCTTTTGTACTTGCCACCTCTCAGCGCCGTCCCGGTTAAACAGAGAGGTTGAGGGTTCGGGAGGCCTCAACATGCACATGCAAGCCAAGGAACGTTCTCCGGGTTGCGGAGCGTCACGCCCGGATGGTTCAACCAGCAATCGTCTCGGGGATTGCCACGGCCAATCCTTGCTGATGTGGGCATCATCATACGGGGGGTTTCCGAAAATAGGGGGTACTCTTTTGGGGTTCCTTTAAAGGGGTCATATAGTATCTTGGGGTACACGAGGGGTACCACTATTTATGAGAAATCCCCATATTCAGCTTACGGCCGCGATACCTTCACCCTGTGATCTGCAGCTGGGAATCTCGGCGAGGACTTGCACGGGCTGCTGGGCGCGCATCTGGAATCGCTCCTGCATTTGCGCATGTGCGCAGTGCTTTCTGTAGGAATAATACAACATACCCCAAGCCCTGACCCCTTAACCTATGAAAAGAGAGTATCAGAAAGAAGGATACTACCATGCTCCTTACTTTCTTTTGGGGGTATGCCAAAGGGGTATGTTGAATAATTCTTAAGTCTTAGATGCTTGCCATTGATAGAGTCGTCGCTATATCTCAAAAACTTCGCTCTCTGCACTCTAAGGCTGCCAAGCAGCAAGAAGAATCGATGAGTTCCAGGGAGCACCCCCGAAGTCGATCATTGCCAATGGCACAACTCCAATTTCGGGTCGATTGCGCTCCAGTTCTTTCCTAAGACGGTACTTTAAAACCCTAAACCCTATAGACCCTAAACCCTAAACCCTAAACCCAAGAAAGGAAAATACAAAATGTCCCAAGGGCCGACCTAGCTTCAAGATTCTGCCCAAGGATCCCAGCGCGTGGCCTCCCCAACTTGGTGTAGGCGCCAAGTATGCATCAAAGCTGTGGAGGGTGATGACCTCAAGTTTAGGGTTTAGGGTTTACTTGCTGTAGGCTTCACGGGAGCAACCGGCGCATTATCACACAGGTCGAAAGGGTGTGCCACGAATCGGCACGTGAATCTTGGGGGCAGGCCCAGTTGGAAAGGCCACGGCTGTTGAACAAGCAGTGCGCTTCCGCCAGCACACTCAAGCAGTGTCGGCAATGTGGTGTCACGCTGATCTCACCCAACTTTGCCGACAAGTGGGATGGCCAACGTGGGAAGTAGGTAACCTGGCAACAAGGCAGCTAGGGTTATAACCACAGCTCCAAAAGCAAGAACACAGAATGAAAACTAGACGTGCGATACGACATGATCGGATCATGGTCGGACTAACATACATATATGGCTGTGGTTCGTGCTCACGCCCCACCCTACCACAACATGCCACATGATTCCATGACCTCACCTTGCCAGGGCGTCCATCCGCCTCTGGAGCTGCGGAGCCGTCCTTAGCAGCGACGGAAATCAGCCGGGCAAGCCCGGCTTGTTGCCACCATCACCCGCCAACCATGGGTTCAGGGGTTTTGTGGCAGAGATGGGTTGGAGGTTGGGGTTTGGGTTCTTTGTGTGTATGGCTGGACGAAGAAGCCGCGCAGGGACTTAAGGTGCTGGATCAGTGTCTCCGATGATTGTTTCAAAGTACGGGGTCGGAGTCCAAGCACTCGAGACAACAAGGGCATTAGTAAGGTGGCAAAGTAGCCAAAGACGCGTTAAACGCAAGCCCACCTCGAAAGGGCCCCTGTGGCATGTGCGGGCTGTCAAGCCGCAATAACTTCACAACCCACGACGTCGCATCCATGCACAGCGCAAGCTTTAAAACCGAGGCCCTGCCACCAAGTACCCGAGAGTGCAAACACGAACCCCAACACAGAATGCCGCCAAGCTCGCCACAATCAGCACCCTTCCGTGCCTTCCCTCAGCCTAACAAGCGTCTGAAAGAGGTGAAGCTGCATCAAATTATCCGTGCGTGTCGTTTCCGGCGACTAGTTTCCCCTGCATGTGCAGCCTCCTCCCACGTCTGAAATAGTCCTGTGTTTGAAGAAAGGCCTCTGTCGGCGTCCCTGGCCGATCCACGAGCCACTCCCCCGAACCCTAGATCCACACCACTCGGCCAGAGGAGACTCGACTGATTTGATCTTTCTGCTGTGTGTACATAGGTGCACACGTGCCTTTGAAATTGAGCATGCTGCTGCGGCTTTGCAAAGCATGACAGCGAACAGCCAACTCGCCCCGCGCCTACAGCCATAACGCCATCCAGCCCAAATTGTTGTAGGGGGTTCAGGGCTTAGATAGGGTTTACATAGGGTGTCTGTAGGGTTAAACATGGGCTTTAAATGGGGTTTATGTAGGGGTTATACCAGGGGCACTGTGGTTTACATAGGGTTTAGTAGGGGGCGGTTGGAAGCCGCTCAGGCCAAAGCAGTGGCAAGGGCATCTTTGTAGAGCTCTGAAGGGAAGGTTTAGGGTTTAGGGTTTGGGGTTTAGGGTTTAGGGTTTAGGGTTTAGGGTTCAGGGTTTAACCAAAGCTCGGGCGGGGACCCTCCTCGGGAAACGGTGTCACTAGTTAGAGCTCTCCGAGCGATGCCGCATGCCAAAAAAAAAGGGTTCAGGGTTTAGGGTTCAAGGGGGGTATGTAACCGAAGGTTCCCTACCACTCCCTGCCACTCCCAAAGGCTCCCTAAGCTTCGCTAAGGTCCCTAGGTACCTGCCCCCCATGAACCCCCCCCTCCCGTAAGAACCCTGTAGTCTCTGCGCCGCGGATCCGAGTCGTACAACACGAAGTGCTCAACCCCAAGCTCCTTCGAAGAGGTCTAGGGTTTTAGGGTTTTAGGGTGTGAGGGTGCTGCTTCAATGATGTTGAATGACAAATATAAGGTTCGTTGGCGTTGTAAAGGAGATTCTGAATATACCATGTCATGCGTATATATCTGTACATGAGGTGCGCCATTCGGCCACTGCTGTGACTTCTGTGGCTCCTCATGGAAATCAAGCCACTGCCTCAGCAGTGGGATGCTACCAGGAAATTCTGGAATCCGCTGTCCTTCGGACAGTGCGGCTTAGGGCGTAGGGTATTTAGGGTTTAGGGGTTTAGGGGTTCTTGCGGGTTTTTTTGCCTTCCAGCTGAACTAAACGCTCACATTGCAGGGTTTAGATGGGTTTAGGGCTTGGAGGAGCCCACGCCTGCATTGAACATGACGCCGGTGCACACAGTCAGCCGGCGAGGAGGCGGGAGGGGAGTCAGGTCCATAAGGGCCGTCTCGCCCATGCCGCACAGGCGGATGCCACGCACGTGCCATCTGCCTTGCAGATGCTTGTTTAGAATTAGGGTTTAGGGTTTAGGGCTTCAAGGGTGTGCGCGGGGCTGGTAGCCCCAACTCCCTGAACCTTAAACCCTCACCCTAAACCCTAGAAAGAACTGAACTTTTTTGGGATGGGCATCCGATCCGAGGTGGCAGGTATTGCAGGCCATCTCTCACTGGGTTTAAGGTTCAGGCTTTCTGGCGGTGTGATGGGTGTGGGGGTGGGTGCAAGAGGATCAGGTGCAAAGGGGGGGGGGGGGGGGCACGGGTGCACCCAAATTAGCGTGACAGTTGCACCATTGTCATGCTAAATGGCCCAACAAATGTCGTGCTAATTTGTGCAGCCTCACCCCCTGCACCCCCACCCCCTCCCCGCACCATACACCCACACCCGATGCACCCAGATGCCTGCACGCTGACCTGAAGGTTTCATTTATCTCAAAATTAGATAAGCTTAGGGTTCAAATTAGCCCTAACCCCAAAACCCTAAACCCTAAATTAGCCCACCATAGCCCACCCAGAGCCTGCGGCAAGCTGCATGGTGTGGATGTGTCCGCCGCCGCGCAACGCCTGCCATGAGCACCAACGCATTCGCTCACGCCCACATCGTGTCACCGATGCTTGAGGGTTTAGGTTTGGGGCTTGGGGCTTGGGGGCTTGGGGGCTTGGGGGGTTGGGGGCTTGGGGGCTTGGGGGCTTGGGGGCTTGGGGGCTTGGGGGCTTGGGGGCTTGGGGGCTTGGGGGCTTGGGGGCTTGGGGGCTTGGGGGCTGGGGGCTTAGCTTAGGGCTCAGGGTTTCGACTCTCACGCTCGGTGTTTCGGGTTTAGGGTCTGCTGGTAAGTGCCCTCACAAATTGGAAAACGCTCTGGACCACTGGAACTTCAAGAGTCGGAATTCTTGGAGAAGGACACGCTGCACGGAGGCCTCGGAGAGAATCGGGCAACGTAGCACCACATCGTTTCCTGGCACATCTTAGTTGTCCAGTAACCTGGGGGACTTAAAGGTTAACCTTTGGGATTCTAAGGGGATTCTACTACCCCAAAAAGGTTAAAGGTTACCTACTCTACTACTAGGACATGGAAGTATGGAAACGGGCTCTGCGCGCTGTGTTGATTTCTCCGTCGTTCCGCCAAGCCCCATTTTTACCCGCCGACGTCTGCCAGATTCATGGATTCACATACGTGGCCTTTCAACAGCTAAGTATACTTCTCAGCTTGTGGAGTATTCGTGGGCGGTCAACACGCCCGACCGACTTGGATACCAAGTAGAGGGGTTATCGACCAGCAGATGTTGAGCAGGGGAATGAGGATGAATCAGGGCCTCTAGCTTCTAGCTGTCTGCTTTTTGGGGTTCTTTTCCAAACACCTGCCTCAGATTTGGCCAAGGCGCCGAAGGCCGACGTTGCTGAGCAATCAATGGGAGCAGATCCGTGTTCACCCTGCAGGTGCTGAGTAACCCTAAACCCTAAACCCTAAACCCTAAACCCTAAACCCTAAACCCTTATCCCTAAACCCAACTCCTGCACTAGTATGGAATGGGTGGTCTCAGTGCAACCCGACCTTTTTGGCAAACCCTTTGTTTCAGGGCTCCTGTGGAAGCTTTGGCAAACCCTAAACCCTGAACCCTAAACCCTAAACCCTTTTGAAACCCTAAACCCTAAACCCTGAACCCTAAACCCTCATCAGCCATGGTGTCCAAAGATGCGCGCCTCCAGCACTGCCTTCCAATCGAGAAGGAATGATTCTGGTACTGTTCTCGGATTGGACCCAGCCTCCCGGCTGGCAAATAGATGCATGTATGTTTTTTTACGTACACACACATGTGTATAGACATATATACATATATATATATATGTATCTTGTTTCTATGCATTTTCTTTTTGGTGTGTAATCTTCGAATGCAATAGATAAACCATACTGATCTAACATCAATACTTCAAGGCAGCACAAAATCTTTCATGCGCACCAAGACCATCTATCTGCAGCAATCTGCATGGGCAAACCTCTGAAGAGGCAGTAGGCATTGACAGCCTGGCCTGCGTCACATAGCAGCCATCCTCCAGGGGTAGGGTTTAGGGTTTAGGGTGGTTTAGGGTGGTTTAGGGTGGTTTAGGGTTTAGGGTTTAGGGTTTAGGGCAGTTCTGGACAAGTGCTCCAGCTTTTGCGGATAATTCCTTTGGAAACTTATCGAGAAAATTACGTTTACTCTGGAACACCAGATGCCACGCCAAGTAAAGGTGCACTGTTGGCACAGCTGCAATGAAATCCGCGCGGTGTTGATGAGACCAGACAAGCGCTGCAACTGCTAAAATACAGTTGCGTTGTCTAAAAAGTGGACGAAGACTTCGGAGAAAAGGACTTAGGGCAACGTTGGGGGGGGTGGGGGGGTTGTTTGTTAAATTGTCAAAAAAAAGCCTGTGCGGAAACACCTCCCGAGGATCCTTGGAGGTGATGTGCATCACGACCTCAATGAGGACGCACTCGGCGCCGTGCGATGTCCCGACCGATGCAGATGCCCCCAAGATATGAATCTCTACATCGTCCTGGACGGCGCCTGAGCTTCTGCGACGTTACAACCAAGATACTGATTCGGCATTCATGATTGAACTCTATCTTCATCAGCTGCAGAGGGCATTTGGCCACTGTAGGATTTTTCTGAAGTTGCCAACATTTGCAAAGAGCTACAAGAAGAAATCGTGTCCAGAAGAGTAGAGCTGATTCGGACGAAGGAACTTGTGACTTGACATAGCCGCAGGCCTGCGGCGTTGCACTCGTTGTCATGGAGAACTCTTCATGGCCTGTCTGACTTGGTGCTGCGCTATGTGTTGCGCCTATGGTGCGTCGTCTCTGCGGAGCCACCAGCAGTGCTGCTGCTGCCTCAGAGCAGCCTGAAGTGGCAGTCGGCCTGCAGGAATCCCAAAGCTTCAGGGTACGCTTTCGCGCGGTGGCAGTCCCACTACCTCAACCCACTCTGCATTTTTCTCATCTTCTACGTGTGCTCAGGTTTAGGGTTTAGGGGTTTAGGGGTTTAGGGGTTTAGGGGTTTAGGGGTTTAGGGTTTAGGGTTTAGGGTTTAGGGTTTAGGGTTTAGGGTTTAGGGTCGGGTGCTGCAAGCCCAGCGCCTCCAAAAGGCCAGCTTCCACCAAACTGCAGAGAGCGCGGCTGCATCAACGGCCTCTAAGGCTACAGCTTGGGAGGTTTCCCCATATACTGACAGTCCTTATCAGGGATTATAGTCCCCCCTATCAGAATCCCTGTTAGGAACTATTAGCATAAGGGGGAACGTCCCAAGCTACCGCACGCAAGGCAAGGAGAATGGCTCGGAGACTGAATTGCAGCCGGTCATTGTAAACAGCAGCTGTAAACAGCAGCTGTACACGATCAGCGACCCTCGCCTGGATGCACCGTATCAGGATGGGCTGTTAGGCCCGATCATGCCCAGAATCCAGGGTAAAATAGCCCCTAAACCCTAAACCCTAAACCCTAAACCCCAAACCCTAAACCCTAAACCCGTATCCGTGCCTCGGAGAGGCGACAGCCGTGCAACAGCTCCGACAGGAGCGACAGCGCTGGAGCTTGGGGAGCTGTCGCCTCTTGTAGCACTGCCTGCGCTGGAAGGCTTCGCTAGTGCAGGCGAAGACTGACATGCCATCTGATAGGGTTCTTAAGGTCCCAGTTTAGGGTTTAGGGTTTAGGGTTTAGGGTTTAGGGTTTAGGGGAGGGGGTTCTTGAGGGTGGTGTGTGGGCCCCATGGTTCCCTAACACTCCCCACTACTCCCTGAGGCTCCTTAAGCTTCCCTAAAGTTCCCGGGCTACCTACCCCACGCCCCAGAACCCCCTCCCCTAAACCCTAAACCCTAAACCCTAAACCCTAAACCCTAAACCCTAAACCCTAAACCCTAAACCCTTTTCCCTAAACCCTAAACCCTCCCTTAAGAACCCTATAACAGTCTGCAACACGGCTTCCCCAGCTGGCCAGCGCCGAGCGGGCGGCACAGGGAAGGGTCGTATCGCTGGGACCTGCTCGGAAACAGAACAGTCGAACTTTAAAGCTTGAGGGCTCAATGTACATGTGTATATATATATATATATGTATATATATATATATATATATATATACGTCTGTATATATATATATATATATATGCATTTCTGCATGTCTTTGCGTTATTCAAAATGGCGTGTATACATAACGTGTTAAATGTTATGCGGTGGGCGGTGTACTGCAACTAAGTTAATGAGAAGAAAATCATCATAATGCATATATATATATATACATATATATATATACATACATCTAGAAACATATATATATATATATAGATGCAACTCCCCAACCATGGCCAGCCACCGGGCAGCGTCAGGGTTCAAAGCCTTCAATTCGAAAGCTGCGGCCGGGTGACTTCGATCCTCTGGAACGACTTCCTGGTTGCTCAGATTGGCACCGCTTTGCGTTCCCTAAAAATGAAACTGAGAACCCAAACCATGAACCCTAAACCTTGAACCGCACAGCAACCTTAAAGTCTCCCCCCCCTCCCCGCCCTGGTGCATGCTGCTCAGGTCGATAAAACCCTAGCTACTTGCACAGTCAGGCTTCCCAAGTGTGCGCGCAACCTCTGTCTGAGGAATAGCAGACTTGTTCTGCAAGAAGCGACAGCGCCATGAACCTCGCCAGAAAGCACACATAACACATCAGGTACAAGCTGCGACCTGCAAATTTCTCTGGGCCAAGGGCACACCCTGCCATCTCAGCAACATGATCCTTGGTAGCCCGGTAACCATATTAAAAAAAGGGCACCTTTTTAGGGTTGGTTACTTTACAAACAAAGGGGCAAAAGGGTACAACTGGGATAACAGAGGATCTCCAGCCAAGCGCGGGAGTCCATGCACCAGGGCAACACTGCTGACAGCGCCGCGGCAACGTCACGTCCTTCCTGACTGTCGCTTTGACATGCTTTGACCAGGAGGGTTTAGGGTTTAGGGTTTATGGGGGCTTTAAGGTTTAGAGCTCATGTTCGTGGACCTTCTGAGTTGGAATGTATCTACCTGCAGTGTGTTGGTCTTGCTATGTTCGACCTGGTATTATTTCCACTGGCTGCCAAAGCAGATCCTGCCCTGCCGAGCCTGTTCATGGGGTTTCAACACGTTGCTTCCACTGTGCCTGTCAGCAGAGCTATGGTGCGCATGATCTGTGGGGTGGCAGTTTGCTCAATCTTGTGCTGGGGTTTAGAGTTTGGGGTTCAGGGTTTAGGGTCTAGTGCGTGTGCCCGTGCCGGGTTCCTCAGGACCTATGCTAGCATGTGCTCAAGCCTTCCATGTTTCATAACTTTCCCAAATCCGCAGAATGCGACCCGTTTTTCAGAGGACAAGAAACACTGCTCCCCGCCTTTGTCCCGCAACAAAAACCCCCAAGGTCCCCAGCTCCGTCCCGAAACTCACTGCTCCCCAACTCTGTCCCGAAACACAAAACCCCCAAGCTCCCCAGCTCAGCTCCAAAACTCACCGCTCCCCAACTCTGTCCCGAAAGAAGAAACCCCCAAA